GTTTGAAGGGTTGGATATGGCGTGAATTTACAGGGTACAAAGGAATAACACCCGAAGTCCTCAGGAATGGCAACGCATGGGAGGTATCATGGGCGAAACAGTATACTCTGTTATGTCCATGGTACTACTCATGTCTATAGGCGACGGTTACCACTTTCCATCAGGTGGGCCGTCAGCTTGTTTGCTATTCTAAGTAGTATAAAAAAACTGATATAATCGTATGGGGATATTTTTTTAATAGGTGAAAATGGAATAGTAACCCAGTAATGGTATACACCGACGGGTATCAGTGGAAGATGATAGGTAAGAATGCAGGTCAGTAGGCCCACCATGATGAATTCGACAAAAATTAACTATGGTTGTTTTCAGGGGTGAACCGCGTGGAGGTCGACCTGAGAGGGTATACTGCTAGCAATGGGGCTATTACTCTAGACCTCATTACTAATAATCCCTTTCCCCCCTGTAAGGGGATATTTTTACAGCCTTTATATTATAACGAGTTACACTGTACAGTGTATAGAAGAAATTCAGTTCATAGTATAGAATGGGCCACCCCTTCTTTCCTGTGGGTGTCGTAAGGAGTGACTAAGGGAATGTAAGGGTCTCATAAAACATCACCAAGGCCTAACCTTGTCAATCCACGATAATAACTACTGCAACAATCCCCCCCCCCCTCCCTCCAAGGGGAAACCTATGTACAGCGGTAGACAGTTAACGACGGTATCATCATAATCATCAAGTTATAAGTTAGAATATAATCTACACGTGTACCAGATTTCATTCAAATGTGTTTAATAGTTTTTGCATGAAACAGTAGCAAACTTCATCCATCCATTACAAACTTTCGCATTTATGTATTTCTTTTTTTATACAACTTAGAATGGCAAAAAAGCTGACGGCCCACCTGATGGAAAGTGGTAACCGTCGCCTATAGACATGAGCAGTACCATGGACATAACATACTGTTTCGCCCATGATATCCCCTATGCGTTGCCATTCCTGAGGACTCAGGTCTTATTCGTCTGTACCCTGTAAATTCACGCCATATCCCGCCCTTCAAACCGAAACACAGCCATACAAACACAACTGCTTCACAGTTGAAACACGAAGGACAGAGGTATCGACTAAGTATCGACCAAGCAATCGACTTTTGTACAAAGTCTCCCTCTGGTATAATATTAATAGGATGTTTTATATCATTTCTCAGGCAAACTATACCTGATAGTTTGCTCTGTGCGTAATAGTCAATAGAGAAAACTTCGTTAGTTATTAGTGGTTACTAAGATCTGTTTCAATGGAACTTAATAAAATAGTAAAACTAAGTTTGTTGAACCATAAAAACACTCTAAATTTAATTAGTATTAAGTCAATATATTGAAACAATTGATTGTTGTTTTGTACAACTATTGAATATCAACAGACTGTCTTGTGGAATCGACTATTTATTGAGTTAATTTTTTTTTATTTTTTTTTGACCAACAAACAAAAATGTTTGGTACTAAAGGCGGACTTGATGCTATATAGCATTATCTATCAGTCAACTATTGGGTTTTCTTTTAATGGATGATAATAAAATGGTAACTTTGCCTTCGCTATCGGTATACACTGGTAGGGCACCAGTGACATATGATAAATGAGCATGAAAGCAGCGAGTCTACCATGAAATGAAATTCCGAAATTTCGGACTCTATTTCGTGTTTTTGTTTATACCAAAATCGGACCAATAAATGGAGTTTAACATTTCGTTCGTCATACATCCTATCATAAAAGTCCAAAGGAACAATATTTTAACATTTTCAATATTTCCAAACGTCATATATTATGTAATTTTAACATCAAATTTGTGTTTCGTTTGGCTCCAAAATTTCGGAAAACATTTCATGGTAGTCCCTCAGATCTGTTAGCCCATCGTGTCAAATGCAACAAGTATTAGTCACAATGGTTTCCAGGGGAAACCACGTGGAGGTCGACCTGACCGGGCTTGCTAGCAATAGGGCCATTAGCCCCTATTACTAACAATCCCTTTCCTCTCGGTGGAAAATATTGAAAATTATTGTGGCCACGTAGTTACAGATATATCATTTATTAACAAAGTGTCGACTCTTACCGATGGATTAAACACCTTGGGAGAGAAACCGGCGTGTCATATGAGCAATAAACAAGAGCACACACTTCTGCATTTGTATTGTAATTCTTAATATGACTCATGTATGACACAGATCCACGTGAAGTCCTACTTCCGTCGCACGCAATAAATCTTCGCACGTTACTATCCATTATATTTATTGACAGTCAGCGTTATATTGTTGCTTGTAACTTTCTGTACGTGACTTTCTGAACAAATACCTATATAACTACAAACAAGAAATCATTTCGACGATATAATAACTTTAGAACTGTATTTCCGTGTGGTAACTGGTAATAAATAAAACATATCAGCAGTCCTTATTATTCTCAAGGTGTTATAATAAGCAATTATGGGAGCTAAGCACTATAGTGCTATGGTATACCGTAAGAGTACCTTTGTCCCATTCGTGTTTCAACCGTGAAGCAGTTGTGTTTGCATGGCTGTGTTTCGGTTTGAAGGGTGGGATATGGCGTGAATTTACAGGGTATAGAGGAATAACACCTGAGTCCTCAGGAATGACAACGCATGGGCGAAACAGTTATGTCCATGGTACAGCTACTACTTTACCACTTTCCTTTAGGTGGGCCGTCAGCTTGTTTGCCATTTTAAGTTGTATAAAAAAAAAGTATATTTTGATTTTATATTTTTATTATTATTATTTCAGCCGTTAACTGTCCACTGCTGGACATAAACCTTCACCATAAGGAGAGTTTTGTTAGTAGTTACCACGTTTGGCAATTGGATTGGCATTATTATTATAAACTAATTAATAATATATTTTCTCTTTATATTATTTATATTATAATATTTATATTAAAATTGTGAAGGTACTCCTTCGCAAATAAAAATAGGTTATAAACACATATTTCATAATTTCTAAAGCTCAAATCAATGTTCTATATTAGAACAAGATATGCTTTCAACATTTGAATTGAAAACGTTCCTAACAAAATGTTTTCATCATTTCACATATGAAATACCAGATCGAACAAATAACGTCATCTAAATTCCGAAAGCTTTTGGGAATAAATCCCATTATAGGAATCGATGAATGAAATAATCCCCCGAAAAAGAGATACGACTGGATGCGTTTAGTGAAATAATTATAATACCTCAAAGAACTAGTAATATGAAAATTAGGTTTTTTTTTTGTTTCTACGTAATGTAGATTACAGCAGGGGGTTCTTCAAAATGGACGTATTACGATTTTTTGAAGGCGGCAACACGCGTGGACATCCCTGGTGTTAGAGTGGTCCATATGTTATGGTAATTCTGTTTACCATCAGACGTGCCGTATGTTATTTTTATATTATATTTGCCACTGGCAAAACCCCACAAATTTTTTTTTATATAACTTAGAATGGCAAACAAGCTGACGGCCCACCTGATGGAAAGTGGTAACCGTCGCCTATAGACATGAGCAGTAGCATGGGCATAACAGAGTATACTGTTTCGCCCATGATACCCCCCATGCGTTGCCATTCCAGAGGACTCAGGTGTTATTCGTCCGTACCCAGTAAATTTATGCCATATCCCACCCTTCAAACCGAAACACAGCCATGCAAACACAACTGCTTTACGGTTGAAACACGAATGGGACAGAGGCACCCAAGCAATCAACTTTTGTACAGTCTCCCTTATGTTCAGCAGTGGACAGTTAAAAGCTGATATGATGATGATTAGTAAGGTAATCCTTAGAATTATTATAATTAATGGTTTGCATTAAAACAAGTACTTTTAATTCATCTATTTCTGTATTCAGAAATAAACAAGTATTACGAATTGTAATTGGCATTTTCTTCGTAGAAATTCAATTGAAAATGTACTTGTCACGGAAATAAAATCGCGCGTAAATAAGTAACAAACATACCCTAAAAATATAACTACACTTAAGATTGTGTACCACAAAAATCCGACATTAATTGTGACAAAAAGAGTCATTTTAATCTAAAGATTTTATTATATTGTATTGTGAAATCTTTATTGTACATAACTCAGATTAAACACTGGTAAATGATTTAATATACAATGGCGGACTTATCCCATAAAGGTATCTCTTACAGTCAACCTTTGAGAAGCTGAAAGAAAACTGTAGAATGTATAATAATATTATAATATTCCCACATGAACAATCTGTAAGTATGTTCTTTCAAATTAAAAAAAGAATTTTGTAAATCATTTAAGAGCTGACGGGGTTATGAGATAATAAACATAAAAAAATATACGACTGAACTGAATAGCTCCTTTTTTAAAGTCGGTTACAAATTAATTTTATTTAATATTTTGTGAATTAACTATAATACGTACTTAACCGATATCAGAATGTGAAGTGGAACATTTGATAGAATAATTAAATAAATATTAATAATTAGGTTAAAAAAGGAAACAAATTGTTAACAAATTTAAATTAACATTGCAGTAACTGTTAATAATATTTTTGTTAATATTTAATAATTACAAATAAATATATATATAAATTAATCTAATTTATAAATATGATATTTACGATTAATTCGTATTCAGGATCGACAAACCATATTCAATTAACTTCACTGGTGATAAAACCAATTATTTTGAACTAAAAATTAAACCTGAATCAATTTTAATAAAATGTCTATGGGGACAATCTGTATATATATCCTTTCAGATAAAAAAAGAATTTTTAAATCGGTTTAGAACAGACTAAGTTATTAGGTTACAAACATAACTAATAAACAAAAATACAACCGAATTGCAAACCTCCTTTTTCAAGTCGGTTAAAAACGCTTAAAAACAAATTTAAATAACAATAAAATTCGTATAAAGATCAAATCATATTGATAAATGTTTAAAAATCTGTGTATCTATTAGTTCTAATAAAAATATAACTCACCAAATATATTACTAGAGAAGAAAAAAATCCCAAATTCACAATAGCACGAAATATTCGCATGCGCAGATCGTGTGCGTGTATCGCGATTTCCCGCAGCCGACTGCGCAGACGCCGCGGCCGCACCACAGATCGACTAAGGGTACAACTGTCACAGCAGCTTCCGAACCACGGAAGTAACGTAATAGATTAATATAAAAAAAATATATACGCGTATATATAACTTGACGTTTTTAGATCGTAAAGGAAAGTTATATTATGTATATACAAAAGTTTAGAAAAGATTGTACGTGCGAACTGAAACTTAGTGACAGTATATACGAAATAGAAATATGGCCGTGTGGTCCCGGCGTAGAATAGGCCACCCTTCCTTTTCCGTGAGTATCGTAAGAGGCGACTAAGGGAGGGTTTGGGTTGAGCAGCAATGTCTCTCTTAAAACATCTCGTAAAACCTAATTGCGGTTGCCAATCCACCTGCCAAGCGTGGCAATTACTGGAAGCCCCCCCCAAGGGGAGGCTTATGTTCAGCAGTGGACAGTAAAGGTAGATATGATGATATAAGAATTAATAAATTTATCTAAAGAAACACGGTCCTGTTGTTGTTGACATAGTCAAAACATAGCATGGTACTGGTCATGTCTATAGGCGACGGTTACCACTTTTCATCAGGTGGGCCGTCAGCTTGTTTGCAGTTCTAAGTTGTTTAATATATATATATATATATATATATATATATATATATATATATATATATATATATACGCTTTTTTTTTGGAAACAGTATCCTAAGTTATCCATACTTTTCATACAAACCGCACGGTTTCTTTCTGCAAAACTATATTATATTTGAGATTTTGTTCCATACAAAAAAAAAAACTGTACAATTTTCCCTATGCCAATAACTGTCATTGGGGGGAACCGGATTGTTAGTAATGGAGACTAAGAATCTTATAGCTAGCAATATACCCAACCAGCTCGACCTCCTCGCGGTTTCCCCTGGAAACTATTATGATTAAATCTTGATGAATTCATCATGATGGGCTAACTGGCCTGTTGTCATCCTCATCGATCACCCCTCACTGGTGCTCCGCCAGCGTATCCCGTTAGCGCAGACGGGGTTATCATTCCATTTTCATCCAATAAAAAAAATAATAACTGTCATTTCCGTTGAATATAATACGATTGAATTTACTGTATCTTTTGTTCAAGTGCAAAAAAAGAATATATAATAAACAAATTCATTTTTTTTTTATTTAGCTAGAGAAGAAAAAAGCTGTTTTGGCGCAATAAGTATATCTAATAAAAAATGCATGTGTTAATAAACATATTGTACAATTAGTTAACGGTAATCATACATCGATTTAAAATAAATAATACAAATTATAATGAAGTAAATAATTATTGTAATTTAAATAATTATAAAAAATAATTTGTCTATTAAAATTTCTTTCAAAAAGCCTAAAAATATTATCAATTGGGAGTGTAATTTTTCTTAAAAACTTCACCAATTACGAATCGTAATTTATCAAAGCGCTCATTACAAGGATTGTTTGTTCTTGGTATGGTTGATTACTTGAACAATTTTTTACGAAGTCAGAAAAACTAATATAACTACAGCATTGCTCCAGCAATAGTTTATATTATTTTATTAAAAAGGAGGAAAGTTCCCAATTCGTTTGTATTTTTTTAATTTTTGGTAACTAACTAAAGCTTCTTCTTTTCATTTAAGAGCTTCCTCTTGTCGATGCAACTAATTCATACAACTTCCTCCAGCTAGCTCTATCGCAGGCTATATCCTATATCTCCCTATACGACATGACGCCTAGTGTTTCCTTTATCTGTCCCATGTAGTTAATCCTCGGTCTTCCTCTTCCTCTTTTGCCCTCTATCTTCCCTTCTATTATGCTTTTAAAAAAATCGTCATGTCGTATAAGGTGGCCCAGCATTTTGCCTCTTTTATTCTTTATTATTTCAATCAATGTTCTCTTCTCGTTTACTCTTTTTAGGATATCCTCGTTCGTTAGCTAACTAACGAACGAGGATATCCTAAAAAGAGTAAACGAGGAACTAACTAACTAAAGCACGGAGACGTAAATACTTCGTTCTCAGAATTGGCAACACAAGAAGTGTATATAATCACAGTATACAAAACTAAACTACTAAACCGACTTTGATAACATTTCCATGGGACCAATCTGTAAGTATATAGTATCAGATAAAAAAAAAAAATATTTCAAATCGATTTATAACTGACGGAGTTATGAGGTAACAATTATTAAAAAATCAAATCAAATTAAGAATATCCTTGTTTTTGAAGTCGGTTAAAAAGTTATTGCATAACATAGATGCGGTGGAGATAACTGAAAACTAGTTATGATAGAGTGATAGTGAATGATGTAGTTACATTATGATAGAGGTCTTTGACCCCCTCGACTACGTAACATATAATATGCATTGCAAATTTTTATCGTTTGAATTTATTTCGCGCTAATTATTTTTCTGTATATTTCGAATATAATATAATTATAAAATATGACATAATTATAAAAAATGCGTCGTTCAGACATAAAAAAGGCCACCATTTTATATGCCATGGGTGTTGAAAGAGGCGATTGATGGTCGAGGGATGAGTAGCGTCCCTCTAAAAACATAATCAAAACAACAGCGATTGCGGTGACCTACGAGATACAATTCTGAATATGTTTTTGATGCATTATTTTTATTTTATTTTTTACAACACAGTGAGTATGCGGTTCACCTGATGGTAAGTGACTACCGCTGCCCATGTCTTTAAAAAATGAATATGCTCTTTTCTTGAAGGTTATGATGTCGTATCGGTTTGAAAATACTCCTGCTGGAAGTTGATTCCAAAGAGAGGTTATTTTTAATTTCAAGTTTCATTGTACCATTGATAAATATTCTATATTTTTTTAAACAAAATAAATATTAATATTAAAAAAATTAAAAAAATAAATAATAAAAATTAGTAAATAAAAAAATTATCTTGCAACAAAAACAGAAAGGAATAAAGTATTTTAATCGTAATAAAACCAGTTAATTATTAAAAAAAATATCCTGATTTGAATCCATGATAATGTATTAACGCTACTAGTAAAAAATGAAATCTAATACTAATTCTTCTTTGCTAGACTTTTTAATGATCTTCTCGTTTTCAGCAGAGCTTATTTTAAGTAAGAGTAAATTGAGAAAAATATGCCTATTATATTACAAAGTAACTTAGCTTTTGGCCACTAATAACATTTTAAGTAGCTTATAAAAGGAAAATTAGAAAATTCAGAAGAAGTATTTAAAAATATATATAAATATGAGTGAGAAGTGAGAGATATAATCGATATAAATGGATTGTGTGAAATTTGATATGGCAGAATGGGAATGAATGCGGAATATATATCTGCGAATAAAGAAGAATGGAAGAAAAATACATATATATATATGTATTTTTCTTCCATTGTTCCATTTTCTGACTTGTGCAGTACCATGAACATAACAGAATATACTGTTTCGCCCATGATACCCTTGGGGGCTATGAATTTCACAAGAGTTACCCAAAATTGTTTCCAGAAGGAACTGCGTAGGAGTCGATCTAATAGAGTATATTGAATAGGGCTGGAAGATTACTATTCATCCATTAATAATTACCCCTATTTCACCTGAGGTAAGATTAGAACAACGATGATGATGATTGAGAGACAAGCTAGTTTATAAATGACTGTTTGTTGCCATAAATAATTAAAATAATTTATAAATAAATAATTTTTATTTTACTGAACTAGATATTATCTTAAGCAAGGGGTTATTTGATAAGAATGGTATTTTGTTTAATTACCATTAGTATGTATGTGATTGGCAACACTAGAAAATTGACTTTCACAATTGCTACCAGGAGTTCCACAGCCTTCCATATGAGCTATCAACCTCCGACTGCCATTATGTTCACGTACGTTTTGCCACACGTGTTTCACCTATAAACGAGGCATTTTCAGACGAATTATTAGATCGCTGCTCGGTGCCAAATTGCGAACGGTTAACACTAGGCTCATAGCAAACCAAAATATTTCTAATCCGATAACCAGCGTAGACTTTAACTTGAAAAATGACCTATAGAGACAATAGATGGGATTTAGAAGACAAAACAATATTTGCCGTGTCAGATAGTAATATTATAAATATGAAAGTTAATTTGTTTATTTGTTAGATCTTAACGCCTTAACTGTTCAACCAATCGTTATAAAATTTAATATACACCATCAATATGGAATGGAGAAAGACATAGGCTACTTTTTATTCCGGTCACGCGGATGAAGTCGCGGGTAGAAATTAGTAAATAATTAAAATATTTTGCAACAAAAACAGAAAGGAATAAACTATTTTAATCGTACTAAAAGCAGTTAATTTAATTTAATAACTAATCTATTGAACCGATTTTGAAAAATTTCTATGGAATCTATCTAAAAGTAAATTCTTTCAGATGAGGAGAAAAAATGCGATGCCTATGGTGTTATGGGTGATCATGGGCGGAGGTAGTTACTTACCATCAGGTGAGCCGCATGCTCGTTTGCCCCCTGTGTTGTAAAAAAAATATATATACATACATATATATTAATCTTTTTTTATATAGTTTTGCGGCAACCAAGCATTCAGCTCGCCTAACGATGAGTACCTCGGAGGAATGACCGATGTGATACCGGCTTTTTAAAAACATATTAATTTTATATTTTTTTCTTAAAGTTAAACTAAAATGAAATTTAAAATAGGTATTCTTAAGATTCTATTAACTGTAAATTAAATTTTTATTTGTTATTTATCTAAACTAATATTATAAAATGAAATTATACGATTTTTAAAAATTCTTTCACCTATAGAAAGCTGTATTATCAATGAGTAACATGAGTTATATTTTATTTAAAAAACTGCGTGAAGCCAGTGCGTTTCGTCAGTGTAATAATTTTTGTATGCAACTTAGAATGGCAAACAGGAAATGTACTATTGTATAATTTTTATTAAATAAATATTTCTTTTTTATTTAAATAAATTTTAAACTTTCTTGAATGATATCAAAGAATGTGCATATTAAAAGTTATTTATTCACATCATCATAAACGATGCTGGTGATGATGATTATTATTTTTTTTA